GGCTGGCATGTGGTGCTGGGGGATCGAACCGTGGTCCCTGGGCTTCAGGCTTCGCTAAGCTTGTTCTAAGTAGGTGCTTTAGACCACTGAGCCATCTCGCCAGCCCCTAGTCTTTATTTCTTACACTTTAAAAATTATGTATCTTAACTGCCATTGATAAAAATATAAAAATTTGCCTATTTGTGGCATAGCATGTACTATTTTGAAACATGTAAACATAATTTCTTACACTTATATAGTGTTACAATTACTAGTTTTGTTTTTTGTTTTTTTCCTTTTTTTCTTTCTTAAAGTTTCATTGTGTAGCTCATTTTGGCTTTGTAGTCCAGGTTATCCTCAAATTCATGGAGATTCTCCTGCCTCAGTTTCCTAGGTGCTAGGATTTACAGGCGTGCACAATGCCCAGCATTGTTACTTTTTTTTTTTTTTTTTTTTTTTTTTTGGTACCAGGGATTGAACTCAGACCTTGCACATGCGGGGCAGGCACTTATGTTGCTGAGCCGTCTCCCTCTGACCCTATTGTTACTATTTCTAAAGGGGGAAATAATCATCTTTACATTGTAAAATGAATGTTAGTTGTTTTTTGTTTTACTTTTTTTTTCTTTGAGGGAGGTAGGGTGAATCTTAGAAAAAATGTGAAGAATGCTTTGAATACCGTAAAGACAGCTCATTGATTTTCTGTTTTTTTGTTTTTTTTTTGGTGGAACCAGGGATTGAACTCAGGCCCTTGCACTTTTGCCAGGCAAAGGTTTATTCTACTGAGCCATTTCCCTGGCCCCTCCCCGGCCCTTCTGTATTGTTTTAAAATATTAACGTATCTTTATAAGTTGAGGTTGAACCTACCTAGAACTAGGCATAAGATTTATTACTCCTGCTTGAAACCCTCTAATTGCTTTCTTGTCCTTAGACAAAACCCAAAGTCTTGACAATACCACACCTATTCCTGCAAGGTTCAGTTGTGCCCACTTGCCCTAAATTCTTGTGTTGTCCTCCTACCCTGCTTTGGCCATGTAACTCCATGCAACTTTGGGCAGTTTCCTTCTCAGGGCTTTGGTCCTGCCTGTTTGTTCAATCTGGAAATTTCCCTGAGTTTTTATGCTTTGTCTTTTTTTTTTTTGTCCTTAAGGTCTCAGCTTCAGTGTCATTATGAAAAGAAACCTTCTGGCACTCTGTCTTAAGAGTTGTTTCCTCATTGGTCCTTCTCATCATGCCCCTTTTATCACCTCCAGCAATTATCAACCCATGAAATTCATTTTTCTCTGGTGTTTGCCTTTTATGATTAAGCTCCATGAGGGCAGGGGTTCTGTTTACTAGATGTCCTATGGTAGCCCTGTTACCCAGTATCTGGAATATGGCAGATATCCATATATCCACTGAATGAAGACTCCTCAAAAAGAGGAGTAAATAGCCTGGATGTTATTCTTATATCTCCATAAAATGATTATATTATGTAAGATATTGATACATGCTATTTATTTTTGAGCAACAAAACCCATGTAGTGCATGGTCAAGCTGGTAATGCTTTCTTTTCAGGTTAGTCATTTTATTTGCCACTGTTAGAAGCTTCATGACGTGCACAAAAGTTAATCTTTTTTTTTTTTTTAATAGCTAACTTTTTTTTAAAAATTTGATTTATGTGTGTGTGTGTGTGTGTGTGTG